ACTATTAGAAGCTTGCTTTGCTTTTTTAAGCAAATGCTGTTGATTCTTATGATCCTTATAGAATCCTGCAAGCCACACTTAAGTATTTTAGGAGCTATAAGCATCTCAGAAGCCATAGATCACTAATTTCTGATCTAATGCATCTTTTAAAATGATCTTTTGCAAACAGTTAACCTTATTCTCCAACCCTTCGTTAGGTTGCATGGCATGCAAAAGATTTAGCAAGAGCATTGTTCTCCCAGTGAGGTAGCTTCCTCTGAGGAATGTACAACATTTGGAACAAAGCCACTTTTCACCCCTTCCCATCCATCCTGTATTGAAATCTCTCCTTTTCTCACAAGCTCATATATGTCCTTAGTGAGAATAGTGAATGATTCTTCAACGTTTGTGGCATCCTTGGCAGATGTTTCTATGTATTTTATGCCACAGGCTGATGCTAGTTCTTCAGCTTCCTCTCTTGTAACCTGGCGCTCTGATTCCAAGTCGCATTTGTGTCCCACCAAGATGAAGATAATCTGGAAAGGTTGAACGTGCATTTTTGCTTCATCCAACCAATCATATACGTGTTCAAAAGAAGACCTGTTTGTGATATCAAACACCAGCAAGCCTCCTACTGAATTCCGGTAATAGGAACGGGTGATTGACCTGTAAAATAAAAAGGGAGAGACCAGCTCAGCAGGAATATTACACTTTTTAAGGTGTACATTTCAAAAGCAATAGGGGGCAGGCGGGGGAACAAGGAGTATCTGCAGGATCGTGCTGCTTTTTTTCAAAATAATAAAATAGTGTCAAACTGGTTGGCCCGCAGGCCGGATGCGTAACCCGGCTCCGCAAAGGCAAAAAATGTTCACGATACGTCACGTGACGCGATTGAGTTTGACACCCATGTAATAAAAGCATACTCTATTTCCTTCCCCACATGTGCAAAGTTTGGTCTTGAATTGTATCAATGCTGAAATGGTGTGCAATACCGCCACATACACACACATTCTATGGATTCCAATAGAGCTGGATAGAATTAAAGTGAAAACAGACAATTCTGTTGTCTTGTCCAGCTTGCCCTGGATAACAGTGCCAGCTAGTCTGGAGAATTGCATCTCCAGATCATATATGATGCTGAAATACATAAACCAGCTTCTTAACTAAAACTAGCCTTTTGGATAGATACTTTCAGTCTAGTCTTCTGCCTAATTTCTCAACTTCTTCATGCAAATATCAAATAAAAATATATTAGATCTCAGAGTATCTGTTGTGTCTCAGGCTCTTTACTCCCACTTCTACACAAGTTTTTTTTTTTTAAAGAAGTTTTAATTTTTTTTTTTTAAATAAGGACTCTAACAGGCTGCAAAACAAAGCACCAGCCTAAACCATTATACCCCTGATATACATTGGAGGCATTGGAAGCATTATTAGGAAAAAAAGTGGTGATTTGAAGTTACAATGGCACTGAAAAAAGTGATTTATGATCAGTCCTCACACTTATGGCCATCGCAGCTTCCCCACAATCACAATGATCAAAATTCAGGCGCTTAGTAACCAGCCTGTATTTACCATGCTTGCACTTTCCTGTGGTCAGCTGAACGCCATTTCCAACCTTCCCAGTCAGCCTCAGATAATCAAAGCAAAGTCCATGGGGGAAGCCAGGTTTGCTTAATGACCGTGCTTAACGACTGCCTCATTTAGCACCTGTATCTGTCAAGGAAGGAAAAGGAAAATGGACTTTTCCAAAGTTCCTCTTGTGAATGACTGGTTACAATTGCTTAATTATGAGAAAAATATTCTTTACATGCATTCAAAATCCCTTTTTTCTCACTAGTGCTTCACACATCCAAGATGATGGATGACCTATGATTTGTTCACAGGTCTCGTCCCATAAAACCTCTTCTTTGTTTTTTTTTTAAAAAGAGAAGGAAATCAGACACTTCCAGCTTTGCTTCAGTCTGCTACTAGTCTACTGCTATTTTTTTATTACTGCATTATTGTTCTGATTTGGTGCCTAGTGCTATTTATCTGCATTAAAAAAAAATTTTAAATGCTTTTAAGCCTTTGGTAGCCACCCAAAGAGCAAAAAAGGTGTAATTTCCCAAATGAAGAGCAGTGCCTGAAAAGAAGCTGGCCTTTCTCAGGAATGGGCAGACTAACCCACAAGCCTAATTCAGATTATCATCTGCCCCTCAAGACTGCACTCTGGCTTTGGCAGCAAGAATTAGAGGTGTGCATATTATTAATATGTAAGAACTGCATTTGCAGGTATTTTACCTGAAGGGTTAGTTGGTTCAATAACCTGCCATTTTTTTCCTCATTTGGTTAAAGGGCAATTTCTCCCTGATTGTGCTTACACAAAACACCAAGTCACAAACCAGCCACTACCCTTTCGTCTAGGGCAGAGGTGTCAAACTGCCGGCCCGTGGGCCGGTTGCATCATGCAGAGGCCGCACCTACCCCAGCTCCGGAAATGTGAAAAAAGTCGTGATACATCACGACACATCACGTGACACGGCAAGTTTAACACCCGTGCTCTAGGGCAGTGGTGGCGAACCTATGGCACGGGTGCCAGAGGCGGCACTCAGAGCCCTCTCTGTGGGCACGTGCGCCGTCGCCCCAGTCCTAGGCCTTCAGCTGGGTTTTATAAAACCTTTTCGCTTTAGGCCTCTGCCGCCATGTGCAAAAAAAAAAGGTTCAATCAGTCAATTTCAACTTCTCGCGGTGAAAAAAAAGATCTTGCAAAGTTGGAATTGATTGATTGAACTTTTTAATCCCACCCAGTCTGCCATTACCACCGCAGCCATGCCCACAAAATTGGCCACACCCAGCCAATGGGCCACACCCACCCGGCACTTGACGATGCATAAGTGGGTTTTTGGTTGCAGTTTGGGCACTCGGTCTCTAAAAGGTTCACCATCACTGCTCTAGGGTATTGTGCAAGCTCATTCCATGTGGTTAATCTATGATACAGGTAGTCCTCAACTTACAACAGTTTGTTTAGTGACCTTTCAAAGTTACAACCGCACTGAAAAAAGTGACTTATGATTGTTTTTCACACTTACGACCATTGCAGCATCCCTCAACTGACTCATATTTATGACAGTTTCAGTGTCCCAGGGTCATGTGATCACTTTTTGGAAACGTCTGACAAGCAAAGTCAACACTTAAGTCACACTTAAGATACACTTAACAATTGTGGCAAAAAAGGTCATAAAATGGGGCAAAATTCCCTTAACTATCTCATTTAACAACAGAAATTTTGAGCTCAGTTGTGGTTGTAAGTCAAAGACTACCTGTACATGTGTAAACTTAATAAATAAGTGGCTGAGCGCAAAAGAATTGAGGCCTTTGAACTATGGTGCTGGAGAAGACTCCTACGAGTCCCCTAGACTGGAAGGCGATCAAACTGGTCAGTCCTAGAGGAGATCAACCCTGACTGCTCTTTGGAAGGCCAGATCCTGAAGTTGAAACTCAAGTACTTTGGCCACCTAATGAGAAGGAAGGACTCACTGGAGAAGAGCCTAATGCTGGGAAAGATTGAGGGCAATAGAAGAAGGGGACGACAGAGAATGAGGTGGCTGGATAGAGTCACTGAAGCAGTAGGCGTGAGCTTAAATGGACTCCAGAAGATGGTAGAGGACAGGA